AAATTTTATCTTTGGAAAATTCCATAATACCACAATTCACAACCGCATTGCCTATAATTACCCTTATAATTAAGTCTGTTTGTGTAACAGAATCAATATTGTGAGCGTTTTGCGAATCGCCGTATCGCGAAATGTGTTAATGGTTTTTTTTTTTGCGCAATCCGGAGCGCAATTCGAAAACCTGGTTGCAGGTGACGGCACCGAATGATACCGATTCTGCACCGCACGCGGTCGTACCGAAATGGATGCTGACGAGCGTGTGGTACATGATACACTGGCTGGGATATCCGGTTAGATTCGCTCTGTTTCGGAACCAACTGTCCCTTCCCACCTCCACTCGAGCTGTGTCGCGAGCTGACGCGGCACCAATATACGGGTCACTTGTTTACACGTGCATTGCATATTGAACCGCTTTTCCTTATAAGGGATTCCCGTAAACAGTGCCAAAAAGGAAAGTACAATTTGTGAACCGGTTCTCTATCACTCCGCCATAATATTATATGAATTTTTTTTATACAAATATGAAAGGACAGTGATATCAATCGTATTGTATGTATCATACATATGTATAAGATATCGCATATTATATATCGGATAAAAAATTATCATTTCTTAATTATTTAAGAATATTTTTAATTAAAAAATGATTTTATTAAAAATGGATTTAATATTTATTTATAATATATATTTAAATATGCTCGAAAAAATCATCAATAGATTACCTCACTTTAATTTTAAAACGGATGAATTAACTTATGAGTGCAATAGATAAAACTTGTAATGATTTAGTAACGTTGAGAGCTTACAAGATTAAGTAAATTTTAAGTTGAAGCCACATGAAGCACGTTTTCGACCGACTAATATGGTACAAGCTATTTTGGGAATTTTGAAGAAGCTACATGAGTCATTATGTTATGAGAACAGCTCAGACGTTTCTTTTTCGCCACATCAGATCGACGATGTATATTTTGAGCGTTTCATAGTCGTTTTGTAAACCAATTGATAATTGTTATCAGTGAGAAGAGTAAAGCAAGCTAGGTACTAATTTAATTAACATCACGCGTGTTAGTCAGTTTCATTGTCAGTGAGAATCGAGAATGAACAATCCTTGGCTTCAGATAAAGATATTCTGGCATCAAACCAATAACAGACATGAATCAACGTTTAAATAACGAAACTATTAATGACAATAAATGAAATGTACATTTATCTTTTCGAACATTCATCTTATTTCTAATCTGAATTTTTTAATATTAAAGATTGCTATTGCAAATACTTTTAATTTATTAGTTACATATAACTTAATTTCTATTTCATGGGCTTTTTTGAAATTTAATTTTTGAGTGCCTAATGCCTAACTTTTAATAAAAATGAATTTAAAAGTTATTTTAATAAATACCTTCGTAAGGTAATTAAACTTCAGTAATACAGCTTTGAGACTTTAAACTTTGGATAAGATTAAAAGAAAAAGTCTTAAATTTGAAATATTTTATAATTTTTTAATTTAATCCTTTATTTAATTGAAATATTACTGTTGTAAAAAAATTAACTTTTAGCTTTACAAGAGATTTCACAATTTTTTTCTTTTGCGATAAGAATCGCAATTTCCAAAGGATTGCGAAACATTTTAAAGCGTTGTGCAGACACCGCGAGTATGAGGGCAGAATGTTAGATGTTGCGAGCCTAAAAATATGTCGACTATACGCATCGTAGTTCGCGCGTATGAGAGGGATCGTGTTTTACATTTAAAAATGAAATTGGCGATGTGCCAATGATACATCCGAAAAAAATCTTCCCCTTTTACCGCGAAGACGTGCGATTAAGAAATTTTGAATGATGCACAACGAGTTTTGGTTGTTAAACGTGTTTGATTCGCGCGAAATGATCACTGTCGTTCAATGAGCCAGGAAACATAACAAACCTTAAAAGTGGTATTGGCAGGATGGTGCACATCGCCGGAACCAGAGAGGCCTCCTCGTAATGAACGTGACAGAAGATTGTAGCGACCTAATGTCGACCACGCGTCTTTGGTTGCTTGTACAGGATATCTGAGCAAAAATTTGTTTTTGTCTTTCTTTAGTGTAAAAGTGCATGAAAAAATATCTTAATTTCAGAAAAATATTTCTTTGCCCGAATTCAAAAAAATTATTTTTTTGGATCAATGAAAGTAATCTTCAAAAATTTTTTAAGGATATTTTTTACTTGAAAAAAATATCTTAATTTTATAAAGAAATTTTCATTAATCCAAAGAGATAATTTTTTTTTTAATTCGAGCAAAGAAATATTTCTCTGAAATTAAGATTTATTTTTCCCAATGCATGTATTTTGTGGATTATCTCCGTATCTATAGATTCGTTATTAGAATACTAACATTTTGTAAATATTACATTTGTCATCCGACAAATTTTTTGAAAATGTTAATTGGCTGCAAAAGATTCTCAGATCTCTTTTTCTTATAACAAGATTTGAAAAATTTGTCGTAAAAATCTGTCTAACAAAAACAAACAAATGTAATATTAGCCTGATATATTATACATTATAAGTCAGCTGCTTCTCGCTCTGATGATGAAGTGAACTGCAACATTTACGAAACGTTGGCATTCTAATAATGGATCTGGACATGTAGATAACTCACGAAACGCATAACTTCTGTATAGAAAGTACCCGTGCAAGCCTCAAAAGCATTAAAAAAACCAATACCAATCTGCTTTTCAATAAATTGATATGAGACAAGTGTCAGAACATATAAATTGTTGTTAATTAATTGAAATATAACTGCCAAATAAAGATTTAAAAGACCAAGTGTTGATTATTTTTCTTAAATTACTAAATTACTGCTCTGCAAATGTTTGCTTTATAAGTTCCATTAAATTTGTTATTTTCATTTTTGTGTTCTTAATTGACTCATCAATTTTGTAAATTTAACTAATGTCCAAGGAAGTAGGGAGGGTATAATATTTACAATTTAAAAAAAAATAAAAAATTTACAATTAAATAAAATATTAAATAATCTTTCTCAAGCATAGTGATAGAATCAATGTTAGAGAATCAATGTTTCACGTTGACGTTTCGCATGTTCTCGTCTCATCCTGTATCGCAAGCAAGCTTAAAACTTATCACAGGAGTTAGAGCGTGAGACGGCTTACCCTTTCGCAAATTTATACGTTTTTGGCGGACGACCTTCTTCGACGATAGTTTTCACGTAATAATACGAATAATTCAACATCGTCCCGGATTACGGAGTGACGAGGGACACAAAGCGAGGACAAACACGATATGATCGGGATGCATACGACGCCGGAGTTCCATGCGCGAATTGTCATCCAACGCGAATCGCGACTGTCACCCTCTTTCCTTCGCTACGTGCTCTCATATGCACGCTTAGTCTGACACTGTACTGTCGTTTATGCTGTGCTTATTTACTCCGCATACTCGTGCACGAGCGTATATATAGCCGCTGCGCCGCCGACATTACTGAGAAAACTGTGAAGCTTTCCAAGATGTGACAAAATGTTAGTGTCCAGCGCAGAGATCTAGTTGCCAGCGCGATGCACGATGCAAATGTACCTGAGAATACGTTGACACCAGAAAATTAATGATGCTCAAAACGTGAAGGAAAGGAGAGCCAACAATGTAACGCCAACTTGCCCTTCAATTAGACCATAAATGGTACGCCACTTTCGATTGGTTTACATGCTAGGTAAATTAATGGGTCAATTCTAAGCAGAGATTCTAAGAATCGTAAGAACTTATTCTCGTAAAATTTGTAAGAATTTATAACTAGATTCTAATTTTATGCGTATGTATCGTAAAACATACAATTGTTAACAAATATCTACGATTTCTTGTAAATCTTATAGGTAGTACGAAACTGTCTGTAAAGGTATTGTATAAAGGTATCAGCACTTAAAAGCTCTTACAAGTCTTACGAGAATATGTTACTACGAGTCTTACTTATAGTAGAATTTAGACATATAAGGTTCAGTTTCATAACTCATAATTAATTCTTCACCGAAGTTTAACTTATTTCTTATCTTTTCCTAATTTAAAAATTGGAAAGAGATGAGAAATAAGTTGAATCTCGCTTAAGAGTTAACCGTGAGTTGTAAAACTGGACCTAAAAGCTATAAAGAAACGAAGCCAATTATTTTTTTTGAAAGAAACTATTGTATGAGACATTGAAGAATTTCCTTTAAGTGCTTGAAATTTATAAGTATTATTGAGTTTATGATCGAGATTCTAAATAACTTCATAACCATCGGAGGAAAAAGTTTATGAAGTAGTAATATACACTACCTTCCATAAACACGCCTTTATTACGTTTCACGTACAGATACATAGGCTGACTCTCATACGCTACGCGCACGTAAAATACGTCGTCGTTGTAAGAAAAATAAAAAAGGGCTCGTGCTCTTTTTATTTCCTTTCTTCTCCCCCGCCTTTCTATTTCCTAAGACGCATTTATCGCTGTCCACTTTACGGTAGTGATGGTGCATCAATGAGAATCAAGTTCATGGATCGTCGCCTCTTTGGTTAGAGAGAGTCACGAGATAAGACGATCAGCCTACGGAGATTTTTTACATCGATATTACAGTGTAACATTTTACTTGACAGCCATAGTACCCTTTGTATCCGTATTGATTCCCTTAAGCGTTTAGATATATAGGACAATACGGCTGTACTGTCTTCAACCAGGGATTTACTTTATGTCGAAGACAAGACTACTCGCATTTCTTAGACTCGTAAATGTCAAATATATGTACACCACAGAAACATTTTTCCCAATCTGTAATTTCCAAGTACGCATCCACGTTTTTAACGTTGACTTTACGAGCTATATATCACTCTAATTCGAAGGTCCACGTTAACGATCAGTGACTCGCAATAATTTTACAAATTCCTGTCCCATCGCTATCACGCAATTAGGAAGTTTACTTGATGAGATCACCTTGCAAAGTATATATGTAGTTGTATGTGTATGTATATATGTAACATATCGAATACATGTTTACGTATTTTGTATTTTTCGTCTCCTCCGTATGTACATACATAACTCGCTTGTTTTGCATTCATTGTAACAATCTCTCTTCTTCCGACTTACGATAATCGCGTGTCTTTCTTATGGAAACCAGTATTCGGCGCGCATCAAAAAAAGTCGCCTGTGAAGAGAAATTCGCGGTTTTCCCCGATTCCAATTCACAAGAGAGTTTCCTCGGAATAGTAACGACGCGAGTATTCGTTGTCCTGAGTCCACGGAGACGAGGAGAGTTCTACGAGCTGCGTGTTCCTCATAATCGCAGTCGTTGTGGCCGATCGTTGCAGCTGCAATCGGCGAGCAACGTTGCAGCCGAACGCGGCCGGGCAGCCTCGTCAACCCCCCTCGGACAAATCTCAGCAGGAACACTCTTCCTCCCTTGGCAGCTCGTGACCCAGGGAGTCCTTCATTGCAAAAATGAAGATGTAAAATAGAGAGTATTACATCGTAAAAATTGCATTTCAATAGTAATGCAAGAAAAACCATAATCAATTAATGCCTTCCTCTATTTCTGAATTTACTGGGAAGTAGTAGTTCAGAGAATCTTCTAAAATATTTGAAATCTCAAAAAGACGTCTTGTTAATTCGCAATCGAGGAGTTTGCATCTGAAAACGCGCAAAAATATATAAAATACGTACATATATTGATATACCATACTACAATTCTATTCTTCATTTTTTATTTTTCGAAATATTATTTTTTATATTATATCTACTTGTATATATCTTTTGCAGATTTATAAGCCGTCATATTTTTGCCGTCAAATTTCACGGGAAACCCCTTGATCGTAAATGTTCGAGTTTATCGGTGGACAAATTGCGTTTTAGTGTTAAGTACCTTCGATTAAGGACCACGATCATGTACAGATGGAAACTTTGCAGGACGCCGAATGTAGGGGGGAGGTCAAGTTACCTTCCTTAGTTCCATACTGCCCGGCGTACTCGAGCGTTGCGTTCGCGTTGTGATCTTCTCGTAGGGGATGGTGCCTCTGCAGAGCGCGCTCGGGTCCAGACTCAGAGTTGCCTTCAGGGTGTTCTTCTTCACTATACCGTTCACATTACTAACGTTGGCGTTGAGGCCGATGACACGACTTGGCGAACAAGAGCGCGTGTTGGGTGATGAGTTCGTTATTGTATCGGGCGGAGTGTCCGAGGATTGCACTATCAGAGAGTCGGAATTGGTGTCGGTAGTCGTTGTGCTCTCATTACCGTTTCTGCGATCTGTTATTGCGCTATCGATGTTGGCAGTCATATGACATTCATCCTCTGGACGGTTGTTGCCATTGTCTACGTTATCGTGGTTTTCGATGACACTAGTTCGATGTATTGCCCTGCTTTCTTGGTGATCCAATTGGTCGATCCTATATTTGTCCTATAAAAATCGTACAAATAATATATATATATATAGTATATAAAATAATTTAACTGCAATTGTAAAATAAAATGTAACATTAAAATAGTTTTGAATTGTTATAAAATATTTTTTACTATAATTGTGAGATCCTTATTCAAATAGGTTTATTTTTTACACGTCGCTCCATGTTTATTTTAACTTCTAATGTAGCCATATTATATGGCTATATAATTTATTTTAATACAAGAAAGAAGAATTCTGATAGAATATATAATAATTGAAATAAGATAATATAATTAATCCAATAAGAATAACGATTAAATACAATTAATGATAAATTTTCTAAAATTTCCAAATACGTACCTTACAATTTTCGATCACATCGTCATCAAGATCTTCTTCATCGTGATCGTTGTCACTATTGTAAATTTGGTCAAAATCCATACCAGAGTCATTATAGGTGTTGCAATTGATTCCTTGTTGACATCCCGTTGATCTCGTGTAAGACTCGCTGTACAATTTGCAATCCTCAATCGATTTTTCATTTTCAGAATCGTAGGCGATTCCACCCATAGCTTGATTCACACGATATGCAACGGATCGCGGATTGGTGACCCTCGGTTGTATGTAACCACCATCCGACTGTCGATAGACATAAAACAAGTTTAAAGTTCACTTTTTACACGTTGAACAAAATATAATCTTTTCATACTTCATTTTAAAACTGTACTGACATTAGACCGCATATTAATGCATTCTGCTTCTGGATCCGGTCTCATAACCGTTATTTCACGATCGCAGATTGGTAATATGTCGAAATTAGGCATGGGATGATTCGTTACATCAGGATCCTTTGTAAAAAAAAATATTGATTCATAGATTATATATTGCTTTACATAATATTTAGATTAAATAATAAGAATAATTTCATACAAAAGATATATAAAATATAATAGAAGCAGTGTATATAGTTGTAATTCGTATTGCGCTCTTACTTGCAAACAATAACCGATTCTTTCAGCAATAGTAGAGAAACTTGGCCTGTCGTCAGGCTGCGGAAGCCAGCACCGCGTCATGATTCCATATATAGGATCTGGGCATCCCGCGGGTTTCTCAAGACGACCACCGTACTGTACCATCGTCATCACTTCACGATTTGCACACCCGGTGTAGGGCATATATCCAAATGACATAATTTCCCACAGGAGCACGCCAAAGGCCCTAAAAATCATATTATATTATAAGAACGTTATAGACTTTACTTCTTTTTTATATTATAATTTACATTAATATGTGACAGGTTTTTCCATCGATAGAATTTGAATTATCAATGAAACTAAATTACATAGAAATAAAAAAACGTGCGTATTTTTGAAAAAGAAGATTGTATGGGATGGCACGTTTTTTTTAGTAAATATGAAATACTAATTGTAAGTCTCACCAGACATCGGTTTTTGTAGTGAATATGCCGTCCAAGAAACTTTCGGGTGGCATCCACTTTATAGGTAGCATCGCCTTGCCACCTTTTTTATAATAATCACTTCGATAAATGTCCCTGGCCATGCCAAAGTCTGCAATTTTAACGGTACGTCCCGGTGCTTTAGTTGTCAACAAACAATTCCTAGCGGCAATATCTCGGTGTATAAAACGCGATTCCTCCATATATTTACAGCCGTTCGCGACATCATAACCGCACATAACAAGATCTAGCATTGTCAGTGATGTAGGTCGGTCCTGTAAAATCAAAGAAAAAATGCAGACATTAAAAATATTTGAAAAAACTACTATCCACATTTACTTTAAAGTAGATGAAAATTAAGAATATAGTGCAATATACATATTTTAATCTCGCTTTTCTCTTGAATTATAATGTTATAACGTTTTCTATTAATACTCACTGATCGAGGCCGTTCTTCACGTAGAAAATTCTTAAGATCACCTCCAGCTAATAATTCGAGAACGATGTATCTCGGATGTTTATCGAAAGAGACGCCGATAAAGTGCACTATATTCGGGTGATTAAATTTGCTCATTATTAATGCCTCCATCATGAAATCAGCTTCGGCTTGCGTCGTGGATAAAGATGGTAGCGTTTTGACGGCGACAGGGTGTTCGTCACCTCTGTATTTGTAAACGCCCTGGTAAACTTCGCCAAAGGCGCCTTGGCCGACAGGTCTACATTAAAAATATAATCGATCATTCTCTTATTTTATTTCACGCAATTAAAAAAAAATTAAGCTTTTGTTTTATTTTTTTACGTTCGAATTCTTAGAAAATCTATAGATTTTTATACATATATATATATATACATAATTTTTATACATATATGTATATATAAACGTTAGGAAAATATTTTATTGATATTCTAATTATAAACATTGAGAAGATAAAAAAATTCAATCTGTATAATTATTTAAGGCTGAGTGCTTTTCTTTCAGGAGATATAGTCGATAAAAATTGTTCTTTCTTCTTGACATTCAATGACAATAATAAAAATCGACTACGTCTCCTAAAAGAGAAGCAGTTTTAGTAAATTTAACTAATTAATATGCTAATTAATCTTGGTATTATACTAATAATAACTGTATTCGTACTAACTTTACTAAATCAATACAATCGCGAGGTATTTGCGATAAATCCTTCAAGCTATAGAGATTGCCAGCAAACTCGTAGTTGGGGTTGTATTCGGTCATTATTGTGTCCGACTGATGTCCTGGACGCAATGCAGCTAATTCAGTACCATTGCCAAACATCACTTGGCGGCGATGGGTAAGCGCTTTTTGTTTTCGATATCGTTTATCTGTTGGATAATATATGCATATAAAATATGCAAGAGAAACAAATATGGAACATCGAAATCAACGTTTTATATCATTTAATCTGATGTGTTATAGAACTCAAAGTTTTTGTATACTTACAAATTATTAAACAAACTCCAGTAACAGTGAGGAAGCAAATGATTACAATCATAAGTTGGATTATGTACCACGTTTGATGACTATCCTTGGAATCGTCAGCCACTAAAATTCAACGTAATTTTATTTCATATTTGCGTGTAATAACGAGAGCAATGATACGTCATCGTGAACGTGCTTACTAATGCAGGATTTGGAGTCGTTACTCAGCAACCAACCCTGAGGACACAGACACTTGGTCTCGCTTAAATACTCATCTAGCGCAACACATCGATAATCGCAACCGCAACCGCTGATCGCGGGTATAACGAAGACTTCGCCTTGGCCAGAATGAGCTGCAGCTTTGAAATAAATATTGGTGAGCTTCGGACTGGCGTATGAATAACCACCCTCACCACTTCCATCATTCTTTCCAGGATTTCCACCTAAAAAAGGCATAGTTATTTGGTTATTTCTATAGTTACTTTTGCATCAGCACTAGCTGATAGAGATCATTATTTATATGTATAAATCAAGATTGATTTTAATCAGTATTTTTTGTTTTCTTGTCTTAATTTTGGTATTTTTCTCAATTGTAGTTTCGTAATATGTTTATAATAATATGCAAATATTATAGATTTAAATATATTAGAGAGGCTTTTATGATGACATCGGAATCACTTTGTAAAATATTGCATATTTCTTCTTACCAATGTAACCTCCACCACCACCACCTGATTGACAACCGCCCCCACCTCCGCCAAAGCCTCCATCACCATAACTTATATCTTTGGATTCACAACCGATACCTCCTTTACCTCCATAAATTAATGGCGTTCCCCAAGCCTTCCGTTGAAAATTAGGCCATGTACCATTCCAACTAGCACCGGCTCCACCTTGAAAGCCGAAATTGAATTTGCATTTTTATTTCAAATTGTATTCTTCTTATAAAAATGTAACTCAGATATTTTTATTATACATTTTAAGGAAAAAACCTAGTTACCCCTGCGATCTGTAAAATTGGACGGAAAAGATGAAAATCTACCCACGGGAAAGGAACCGCGTCCATGCTGTAATCCATTGTCCATAGAAGGATTTAATCCTAAACCACCACCACCACCCGCAATTAAGATGGGCTCCAAATCGCCGTTTGCTTTCAACTGTAATCGGAATTACATCGTACTTGTATATGTATAATAACGAGAAGGAAATTAGTGGAAAACTAAAGTGAGACTTTCTTTGTGCAAATAGTATTATGATTCTAATATAAAAGATCTGTATAAATCACAATCAGATATAATAAAAAGAAATGCATTTTATATTTTTTGTTATTTTACTAAATTGCTGTAATCATTATTTTACTGAGAATATAATATTTACTGTGAAAATGGCAGTAGCACCACCGCCGCCGCCACCAGGATTCTTAAATTGGAGCTTTTTCACTTCTCGCACTTTCGTTGCTGTCTGCTGTGGTACTACGATTTCCGATTCACAGGTAGTTGTTTTTAAACCAAGGCTCTGATTTTGATAAGATTAATAGTATTAATTTATTGTAAGCAATAATATGAACAAATAGAAATCATCTCATAATTTATAATGCAACTCAAAGAAAGTTTTACCTTTGCAAAACTAGAAATGCGGAGCATGTAGAGTGACATTTTTTTCGAGATTATACAAGGTTTAAAAAAAATCGATTTTAAAATATTCTGCAAAAGGGGGAAAAATTAATGTTAAAACAATTTCATCAGACAATGGAATGTATGGAAAAACATTAATGAAAGTTGTAAGGTAAAGAAGCTTAAAAATATAAAAATAAGTTCATTAATATTCCAGTTCTTACATTTAATTTTGTTCATGATAAATTTGCATAGAAGAAATATTTACTTTATATCTCTATTTTTCATGTAAATCTTCTTCAAGCAGCAATACTCACTTTGGCACAGGCATCCACTCCCTCTTGACCAACCATGAAGTACAACTGGTCACCCTTCTGGAGTTCTATGACACCGCGAACAATTGCACCCAACGTGATGCCAGTATCGCCTGAACCCTTTCCTCCTCGTGCTCCGATAGCGATTAAACTGTTTGTTGAAAACAATATTATAATTAGACAGGTGTGTTAAAATGGATTCACCATTCGGTTTGTCATTTCCATACATCTCAATATAATTTTATAAGTATTTTTCTAATTAGCTGAGTACAACCATAAATTGATCCGCTATCGAGATTTAAATCTTATCTCTATTTTTGATTTATTATAAATGTACGCTTCTTCGTGAAATCATCATATTCTAACAAATCATTATTTTAAAACAAATCTTTTTGATTAAATTTCTTGTAAAGAGAAAGATATTTTTAATATGCGTGGAAAAAATTAATTTTTTTCTTTACAAATTCTACAATTTCTGTAAAGAGTTAATAACAAACGTTGTTTATGACACAGAATAAGTAAAATTTTCAGTCACCTGCGAATTATCGATTAAATATTAATTTGATAATCTCTCTGCTAAAATTGAATTACCTCCTCACATGATTAAATTAGTATTAATTATCATTAAGCTAATGAACTGTCTTGAAAGTCCGCTATATTATGTAAATCTATATTTCTGACTGGATCTACTAACGTGTAGTATTCACCGCGTGGTGCAGTCCACCGTTGGACTCCATGCAAATTAAAGGCCGATTTTTCCTCCTCCTGTGTCGTTGGCGGTATGAACAATTCTACATTTGTATTATTATATTTTTCAGTACATTTTTTGTCTGTAGGACCAGTGTTGCCAGAAGCCCCGCAAGTTGTAATTCGGATAACTAAAAATAATGTAAGATATAATTTGATAATATTTCTGATAAGCTTTGAAAGATATTTATATTTTTCTGTTAAAAAAACAATACAAGATGCATAAAAATGTGTTTATTTACATCTGTAATAATAAAATAAAATAAACACATTACAAAATATTCATAAATAATATTTAAAAAGTACAATTAAATTTGATCACACAAATGCATAACTGCATGTACCTGTCTCATTTACAAAATCTGGATGCTGCAGTGGCAACTTTTCGAACTCGATAACGGGTTTGTAATAATTAAAATCACCTACAACTTCCTGCGGAACTCCTGTAGAAAGAAACATTCATATACGAATAGTAAGTAGCCAAAAATAGTTAATACATAATAAAGAAGTGTTTAAAATTATGTTAATACCAATGCCAAAACATTCTGGACTCAGAGAAATATCGTCAATTGCTATATCACTTTTTGCAGAATACCCTTTGGATGCTTCAAACTGCAAGTGGTACCTGTAGATGTGTGTATCATATCAATAAAATTTAATTTTTTATTTCGAAACAAAAATTAGTTAAATTCTATTATACGTTAAATGCGTGTATACGCTTAATGTTTGCTTAATGTGCTACATAAGTTTCATATTTACCTATATTTTATATCAGGTAGAGCAATAGCTTCCTTATGCCAATTATCGGTATCGGTTCCATAGGACCACCACAAGTTTTCGGTATGATTACCGTATGGTTTTACTAGGACCAAAAAGAGCCCAAGAGATGCGGCATGTGGACCATATTTATGATAGAAAAATCGTATCTAAAAATAATGTTCGTTTATAATATATTTGTTAAAACAATATTACAATATTAATATTAATGCTTTAACCTCAGATAGAAAATTTTTTAAGTAATAAAATCTCCTCTCTTTCATATTAGATAAAGTAGGTTGCTTTGATTTTGTTTATTGTAATTCATGACTTGACTTATTTGGTCTTTTGATTTAATGCCGTTTTTTTATGAATACATATACTATTAATGGCATCGATTCAATACCTCTATTTTTAGAAATTTAATATATGTATATCTATTATATATATATTAACATATGTTATATCTAAATAATACATTATTAGTGTATATACCTAATCTATACTTATACACATATATCTAATTCTAATATATGTAGATATATCTATTAATATACTACCTATTAATATATGCTGAATTAAATACAGGATGTGAAAATCATGATACAACCAGAAAGGGGTGATTCTCTATGAAAAAATAAATCGAAAACAAAGAATAAATTTTTTTGTATAAAGTTTTGTTTTCGGACATTTTCAACAACTTATTAAATAATAAAATTCATTTGTGCGTGAGAGAGAATATCCTACTTTACTGCGTATTTTTGATTACCCAATACAATAAACACAAACATAAAATAGTAGTCCACAACGAGATCTGTTAAATCGAGAGTACCCAACAAATATTTAAAGTCAATTTTTCCAATACCAAAGCCTTATATGAAAAAATTTTATTTTATGTTTTCGACTTACTTTTAGACGTGGATTACCTTCTTCTCGATTGTATTACGATTTTCGAAACACTGCATACATTATATACATATAAAATGTTTTCATATATATAGAATTTAGGATAGATTATATCATTGGATAAATAATTACTTGACATGATCGATAATAAGGGCTTTTAGGGTTGCTGCTGTAAGGAGGAGTCGGATTGTACAGAGAACTTGTGATGGTGCCTCGACTGCCATATAGGATTTGCGTATATTTAGAAGCCATGTTCACAAACGCGTACGTTCCTGTCAAATAAGTGACGATTTATTTTTACTGTGAATATATGTTCCGCTTCTCGCCGCTTGATCTAATCTCAAGTATATGTATATACCGGTTTCATTGTGATAAGTATGATCATAACTGGGTCCAGTTCTTTCGGTCGGCGTGGGACCTCTATGAAGAGTCCAATTTAGAGGTCTTCCAGGAACGTTTGTCCATCCGCACCAACCATCTTCGAAATTACACCTCGCGTTCATTGGAATCTCATCTGTGAAATATTTTAAATATCTAATTGTATGAACCTATACATCTCAAAGACGAAGCATAATGAATTTTTGTCGTGAGTTTTGATATTCAAGAAAATATGTATAAAGTGAATTTAGGACGTACGCACCGCACTCGAGTTCATCCTCGCCATCGGCGCAATCTTCCGTGAAATCGCAGATGCGGGTCTTATTCAAGCAAGAACCGTTGCTACACCGAAACATATCTTTAGTACAATATCCAGTGGATTCTAAAATATAGACATGCGAAAGAGTTATCACTTTAATTATAAAAATAATTTTATATGCTGCATTAATTTCTTTTAATACTATGATTGTCCTCATAATTACATAACACATCTCTTTTTCAAAATCAATTATTGATTATTTATGCTTAAAAAGTCTTCTAATACAAATATTTTATTTTTCACTTAAATAACTTAATTCCTGTATGAAGAACGCGGTATGTAAATTAAACAGAGAGTAAGGTCATCGTATTTACAAATGTCACTAAAGTATTGGCATCATTGATACAACACGACAATCATAATATTCCATTAACTTAATTATTTGAAAATATTTTTTTAAATTACCTGGAAAGCAATTAACGAAACGAAGGTTGTCCAGACCGAGGCTCGAATTAATATAGGGTATATAGAACTCTAAAATTAATTTATAGGATTGACCGATCGCGCGTAATGAAAAACTCATTGTCTTCCACCTAAAACAACGTTCAAGCATAATTTTTAGACTTGTTTTCCAAAAATTTATATTATAGTATCGTAAAAAGTGTTCATATGTATGTACATGGAGGTATTATTTCCGCTTTTTGTCACTGCGATGGAGCTCATGTTGTTAGTTTGTATAACGAGGTTTATGAATCCGTTTTCCATTTCCACCATATAAAGTGAAAATTCGAGGCGGCAACGCGGACCCGTACGAGGAATCCATTTGGACCATATTTGAACGTCTCCTATCTGGTTGAACCACAGAAAGTGGCCTTAAAAGGAGAGAACGAAACGTTATTTAATTTTCTTACAGTTTTCCTATACCATCGTAATTACATTTCAATTTTAAAACGATTATAGAATGGATTTTCGTTAATTTTAGTTCGATTCTAATTTTACAGACCAAATTCTCGATGTCATGAATTTCTGTTCTTAGGATTAAATTAACGCATTTAACTTTAATATATTTACTTTAATTTCTTATACTTCGATTTTCTTCTCTTTATGGTAATTTTTCTTTTGAAAAATAACGTATGACGGAGAGAATTACTCAAAGTTTTCGTACCGTTTGAAGAATTATCGGCGTCGGTGATCGGGTAGGTACTTGACTGAGTGGCTTGCGCTTTGACTTTCTTAAAACCATGGGTATCATTCCAGGACCAGTCGCAATCCGTGTCGAGATCGCAATAGCCTATTTGCGGATAGTGAGGTGAGTGTTTTGACGGTAGGACCGTCTGAATATCTTTAATAGTTCCATACAACATGCTGGTCTTGGAACCGCATATCGCCGTGACGCAGTAACAAATCAGGATGATCCGAAGTAACAAACTGCCGTTGTTACGTGCAGACATATGCCGACGATTACACGTGCGATTCGCCTGACTGTAACCCGCGATGGTGGTCGCCAGCCTCGGCCGCGTGTCGTTGATCATTACTTCGCAATTTCGTCCACACAGTGGCTATTTAATAATTCCCGACAAGGTCACGCGCGACATCGCGCATTCTGCTCTTCGAAGATAGCAGACATGATTCTGCGAGCTGCTTCTTGATGCGAGAATTAGAATTTAGAAAGAATTCCGAAGGAACGTCGAAAACGTACGTTTCAAGAGTGCTAACGCGACACGGTGAGAAATTTACAACGATGAGCGCAGCGAGATGAATTTTGATATCACGGACCTTCTTGGCTACGGTCCTCCATTATTTCCCAAACTGAAATCACGCATACAAGTTTATATATTTTATAAATAACAATAATTATATATATTTAAAAAAATTTTGATTTATACATGAATATACACGAGCGTATCTATGCATACTGCAATTTTATTTTATTATATACCTACATAATACACTCATCTTGTATATTTTATACAATATGATCACATTTTGTTTAAAATAGAATAAAATAAAGAAATGACCCGTGCATTTGTTTTTTCAGAAATCTAACGGATCAGGACGTATCAATAAGAGTAAATTTTCGTGCGATACAGGATTTTAAGTATGACATTTATTACAATAAATTGCTAATAGAGTTTATTTCATTTATTTTTTATTAGTATAATCGCACACTTCCTTAACATCATAATATACTTAATTAAAAAGCAAAAATGTCTCGGTTATTAGGTATTATTTCAAATTAAATTTGAATATATTAGTCTTTATAATATGCATCTTATTTCCAATTTCGTAATTAATAGAAAATTTACATAAATTTTGATTAGATTTTACAATTATGCCGTATATAGGGAATATATTTTTTGTAATAATATATTATACAAGCGCAGTATTGTAAATTTACACATTGAAATTCATTATCTAAAATTCAAAAATATTACGTACATGCCGTTATTCGCATAACAAAATAATAAATGATACAGCAGAGATTATAGAAGTCCGAGAGAAAACGAATTAATGAAACGAAGTCGTGAACGCCGGAAATGGAATAATTCATTTCTCGATATTCCTTGATTTCCGGTTTGTGTGCGAGGACGAAGTTATGCCTGTCCACTGCCATCATCGGTATTTCAGAGGCGATGGCTATAACGTTTTATTAAAAGCGAGCGACACCAAAATACATTTCCATTTATTCTGCATCCATTACAATATCTTTTAGCTTTCCCGATTTCAGAGAATATCCTTCAAAGATGAAAAATAAATATTGCTGATGCATATATAAATACATTTTAGCTATAAAAAATCACAAAACAGAGAGAGAAACGGTGAGAGAAAGAGGGAAGGAGAAAGAGAGAGAGAGAGAGAGAGAGGGAGAGAGAGATGAGAAACATATAAACATGTTTATCTTTACTAATCACATATTTTCAATTTCTGATCCGTGAATTTTCTAAGAAATAGGAAAATCAAAGGATGAAAAGCTGCAAATTTATATTTAACTCCAGCTTCAACTTCAATTACAAGTTTAACTTCTGCTTTTGTTTCAACTTGTTTCAGCTTTAACGCTTCAGTTTCAATTCCACACAAGCTTAAAAACTATCTTTATATTTTTAGAAACACTGTTTATATATTTTATATAAAATATATATAAAAGTCAGAGCCCGATTGTGTCGAAACTACGCCTCGAAAATTGCGTAAGGAGTAACAATTCATTTTATCAGATCAATTTCGCCTACACGTACTCTCCTCTCTCTCTCTCTCTCTCTCTCTCTCTCCAGCGAACAATTACTGTTGTTAGAGCATAGTACTGTCGTAGAATGCGCAGTGGTTTAACGCGCTTTAACCCGCCTTTATTTTACTGATTCTTACAACGACGAGTCGCTTGAAACAAACGAAACTTTTTCGAGAATGCACATCCGTGCTATTCAGTCGAATCCTCCATCGAGAGAGATTTTTATTCACTTTTCAAGTGAAATTAGTGGAGCGGCTATTGTCAGTTTTGGTATATCGATTGAATCGTATATCGAACGCCCGCGCTTGCCAGCCAGTCGCAGAATTCTCGCGACGCGGGATGTAATCACATTCGAATGCCACCATTAATCCCAAAGAGCTTCGATCAAAATACTTGATGTCATGATTCATCAAACCGCTTAAGGAGAAAAAAGAAATTCCGTTCTAATGTGGAAAACGGGGACACCAGGAAATACGCGACTGCGAAAGTAAAGATTCATAAAAATGGAAATTATATATGAGGTAGATTACAGGAAGAACTAAAGAATTCTGGTGTCTTTCTATATTGTACTTGAATTAATGATACATATAATTTATGCATGGGGGAACGAATAACAGCTTGAAATATTTAATCAAATCGATTATACTGTATTACATTATTCATACCATATTACTATTTTACCATATTAATATTTTTTTAATTAAATAAAACAAATCCTGTATTTGGCTAAAGCGGATTTTAGTGCTTTTAAATATTTCCGTGTGAATTTATATACATATCTGATTTTGCGTACCGTGTTTCGAAACTTTTTTTCGGTCTTGAAACGTAATCATAAGCAGAACCAGAGTAATAATATATATATTACTTATATAAATATTTTATAATATTTTCTTTAAAAAACTTTTTACCTGATGAAAAAACCGTGTGCAGTGATAAATGATATCGATGATTTTACTCAGGACGTCTTAATTCAAAACTCTCTGTTTTCCTCTCTTAATTAATTCAACTTTCAACACAGACTGTCTATCTGCAGAGGCACCAAGACACAACGCGATCTAAAATACACTGCGCGCAGGATATAGTAACAACGATCTGTCTGATCTCGTGTCTCGTTAACAGCAATCGAGGAAAGCGTTTTGCTCTCTGTCTTTCCTTCAGCCACATCTCGCCCCTCTCTCTTTCCCTCTCTTCCGGAGGATTCGAGTGATAACTTGGCTTATGGTTATTTCCGCGGATTATATCGCACCCTCGTTTCAATAATAACATAGCCCGTGCCTCCAAGTGTCAACTTCCAGGAGTCAAGAGCTATCAAAATCGATCCTTTGATCAATATTCACAAAATTCCCGTATTTATATGCAAACGCCTCTTGTACATAATGATCGACGCTAAAGAATTAATTCATGATATATGCTGTTTGTAATAGCAACAACCTTTCGAATAACGAACATTGTCACAAAGTCAGAGCAGACAATGTCGCAACGTAATTAAGACAAGTTACGTCAATGCCGCTGTGTAGTGTTATGTCCTCTCGATCGTAATGATTTCTTGCACGTGTCGTTTGTGATCGTGTAGAAAACACGTGTTTCCCTTTGTTCCTTTTTTATACAGGTCAGAGTATAAAAGAGCAACGTGTGGGAAAAAATAAAATAAAGGATTCTATTAACAATTAATAAAAGAATAATTTTATGTCATTCTCCAGTTAAACGATTATAACGTCGAAGTCAATAAGCGATTATTACAACTGAGAATAATTTGTTTACTATTGTAGGATATCAAATGTGATAGTATTGTAACGTAATGAGATATATGTTAGGTATTGTTTTATTATATATATGTATATATATATATATATTTAAAAAATATATATTTTTAACATCAAAATAATATTAAAAGATGTTTAAAATGTATACAATATTTTTCTAAAATATGTATTATATGTATATTTACACACATAAAGCTATTATATATCCTTTTTTCTTTTTATTTTATTATACTTATCATTAGCTAAGTTGTATGAAATATATCCTCTGAAATTGCCTCTATTGCTTGAATTGATATAAATATATATTATAGCTAAAGATGTAAAAAAAGATATAAAAAAAGATCAAATTTACTTTTTTTTCTTTCTTAATATGGTTGTCTATTGCGGTTTTATTTTTAGCGATCAATATCACGCGCAAGACGTTTTGAACAATAATAATATCAATTTATATCGTATTTATTTAACAACATGGAGTCACGCTCGATAGTGATCAAATTCTGCGCGTGCCTTTTATATTCCTCCATTTGTATGCTTCACATTTATATATTTTATTATTTTTGGAGACACTGAAAAACTCCATTAATAATAAAAAAAATTAGTTAGTACCATATAAAGATTATTTATTAAAATTGATCACTGATGATGGTCATATTAAAGGCCGAATCGTTTACGAATAATAATAAAAAATAAAAAATTCGTTTTAAGATTCTACGAAATACATTATATTTTCGCTACATCTATCCAGCGTCGTGGTATATGTTCATTTTCAATTCCTTTGTTTATTAAAATTGATTTTGATATGTGAATTTAACGAAATTAATTTATTTTATGCGGTGGTGATGCATATATACATATATATATAGTATATATAGATATACGGTCTGGAAATTTCAACAATAGTATGCTATAAAGTGATTAATATGTTGTATCAAGTGCCATATTACCAGGTATGATGGAACAGTCCTCCTCGCTTCCATTTCACATTGCCATCCGAATTTCGTATCAATCTTCAAGATGTATCGGTGTGTGTATAACAATTCTTGCTAATTATCTGCAGGAGCACACACAATTGAGAAGGTCTATCCGTGCACTCACTTGATGGTATATCAAACGGATTTATTGCGTCTGAGAATTTCGGGCACACCGTGTGTCCGTACGTCGTCGACGATCGGTCCGAAAGGTATCCGAGGGGGAACCCGGATATCTCGGGAATTACACTTCGTGTTCGATCGCACATGGAATTACGAGACCACCCAGAGTCAATTTCCGTTGCGACAGCAGACGGGAAAAGCCGTGTGTCCCTTCCACCCTGGCACTCGGGTGGAAACGTCCGACGAGTGTATTTCGAATTTTGGAGACGTTTTACGAAGCACGAAGATCGCGCGCCTCTCCATCCCGCCTATATGCGTGGATACGCACGCGTGCGCGCGTACATCGCGTGAGAGCGATGGACGTAAGTCGCTGCGATGACCATCAGCGAGAGATCACGCACGCAGCATCGCGCTCTCTCTCTCTCTCTCTCTCTCTCTCTCTCTGCGGACCGCGCTCCGCAGCCGGAGGACTCGTGCCGCCGCTCTTTCCGCTCCGCTTTTCGGTGCTTATCGATCGACTGTCTCCTCTCTGTACGCCTCTCGCGGCCCTTTCGCACACACCCCTCGCGAGGAACGTCGTCTCGTTGTTCCGCGGTGCGACTATACGACGCCGCCGGGCCCACTTTTGTAGCCGAGCGCGCGACGGTGTCACTTATTATACGCAACGTTAATCCCGATCTTTAAACGCTTCGCGCACGAGGACTCGTCGTACCAGACCTCTGCAGCGTCCTCTCCGCGGGGGGGCTGTTTCCAGAATCTGGACCTCGCGGATGCGGCGAAACGAAGCGCCGCGCACTCTCTTTCTCCCTCATCCTTTCTCTCTCTCCGCGCGCGCATGGACCACACGGCTATGATTACGGCCCCGCGTTCTCGCGTTCTCGATCCAGCAGGGTGAAATGGAGAGAGCAGAAGCGAGAGAAAGAGACGAAGGGATGAGGGATGGCGAATGATCGTCTCGCGATCGAAGACGTTAGCAGCGTCGCGAGGCCTACCTCTTTTCGGTGCCTCCCCAGCATCCAGGCACTTCGTCTCTCTCTCTCTCCCTCCCCCTCCCCCCCCCCCCCCAAGCGCTGTGACGTGCCGCACGCGTGGTCACTCGTGAGCTCGTGAGCGCCGGGCGCGTCGATCGATCGGACACGTTTTCATCCCGCCTTGCAGCATCCCAAGAGCGCGCGTTTCTTGCTCGCCTCGCGATAACGATTGCTACGCTATCGTTACTCCCCGAGCTAATCACATTTAGGGTGGCGATGGGAAAGAAGCATTTTACCATTTTTTTTTTTTTTTCTTTGATACAGACAGACATAATAGATTCGAGATATTATATATTTAAAGTAGATAAAAATAGATTTATATAGATACAAGAGAGAGTATATTTGTATGTATAAGCACCTGCATTGCGCATGCTAATTTCCAGATGCATATCACATTTGTATTGTTTCGGATAAATTTGAATACGCATCTCGACGTAGTGGATAAATAAAATTGCGATACCGATTACAGTTTTAAATAAAAAACACTACGACTTCTTTATTATAAATTTTAAAAAGTACAAATAATAGAAGAAAATTATTGTACATCTACGTCAGATTTTGCAACACACACGTGTGAAGCTAGACAATTTTTTTACCAAAACTACGCACTGTGAAACTTCTCATGAAAAGTAGCATCTTTTTTTATTATATTGAATTTTTTAATACCGCGGAGGGGAGAAATCGCTTGGAAGACAAAATTGCATGAGTTGTGCAAAAGAAGAGAAAGAGACGCAAAGTAAGGGTACGGATCTAGACTGGTAAAGAAAAAGGACAAGGAGGATTATGTGAGAGAAGGATAAGAAGGGAGTAGAAAGAAGAGGCAAAGAAGATATACGAGGGTAGCTCTGCTATTAACGATCAACGTTAATGGCAGCTCCTGGAGAAAAGTACCCTGACTCACGAATGTACCCGAACATCCGCTTTACTCTTCTCTTAGAACATTTTACTTACCCGTAGAACATAAACTAAAACAGTAACATTATATCAATATTATAATTTCACACACAACAATGTAAATGCAATATATAACATATATTGTATAGTTAAATATATTGTTGAGTATATATAGGAAATTGTTGATGTAATGTTACCGTTTGTATTTAGTCACTTATAATTCTGATACAATTTGACGGTTTTGCAAGCGACAGATATTACTTTTAACGAACGATGACCAATTATGCTATAGATTTAACCCTCATCTGAAAATTATAGTGATTGTAATGACTTGGATCAAAGCTAATTAAAATCAACTGATGTAATTTTTAATCTTGATTTAACTTACTGTTTATTTTTTTTCTAATATCTGTTTCTACCAATGTATTTTAATTTTAACCTTATTGTTAGTTCAACTTTATCCTTCTCTAGTTTAAAAATTTTTTTAAATGAAGAGTAAGTTGAACCAAGATTAAAATTAATCTACATTGGTGGAAACAGTCATTAGAAAAAAAAAATAAACAGTAAGTTAAATTATAATCCTTAGAATTAAAAAAAGAGCAAATTGAACTTAATTAGAGTTAATTTTACGTTAGTGGAATCGAACCTTAAACGATAATGAACTGCGAATTGAGCAATCTTAATATTTAATATCGAATGTCTTGACGAAATATTAAAATTCTACGTATGAAAAGAGTAAATTAAATTTACTGGATTTTAAAAGGAATTAAAGTTGAATAAAATTGAGAGATATTGCGAACATTACGTGAACTTTAGCGTGTCACACGCACACACATATACAACATTTTCACATATAATAAAACATTTACAATATATAAACACGACACATAATAAAATGCAATCATACTATTTCTTGTTATAAAATAATTCTTTAAGGTAATTAATTAAAATTAGGTAAAAAATCATTCATATATATATATATGTATATTATATGTAATTGTCCATTTATATGAGTGACTTTCTAATTTCAAATTATTATGAGAATTACATACATATATTTATAGAAAATTATATCAAATATATATTATATTTTATTTATATTTACATAAAATGAATATATAAAAAACATATATGTCTAGTTCTTTCGATACGTTCGTGCAAAGTTTAAAATACGGCACCACCAGTTTCAATGAGATAGATATCTTACTCTGTGTTTGGCATTCATTTGAATTGATCAAGTACCGTGATTTACGAAAAATTAATCAGAAAGAATTTTGTGTAGTGTAACCGCAAAATTGTTCGATTTATACAAAGTCCTTCCCTCTATTTTCTTCAAATTTGGACTTCGTTAGTATAAATCGAACAATTTTGCATTACACAAAATTCTTTCTGATCCATTTTTCGCAAACTACGACACTTTGATTTAAATAAACGTCAAACACAAAATAATGTCACTGAAATTCGATGTATGATCTCTCTCTCCTCCAAGATACTAAAAATAATCTTGATATAACAGGTAGTGCCACATCTTAGACTTTGCATGGACTTATCGAACGTTTCACGTACATTATACAATTTATTTACATTATAAATTGTGTGACTTTTACATGTGCTGTTTATACAATTTTACTTGCTTTTCATGCGCGCTTTTTCACGGTATATAGAAAATAAAATATTGTGAAGAAAATAAAATTGAATAAAAAATATAAAAGTATATTACACTTTTTCGTTATGAATTTTATGATTTGAACCCTTATTGTTTATATATTGTAATTTACATTTTTTTTTTTACACTGCATACTGAAACAAAGCGTGTAGAGCCTAACAATGTACACTATTTCTTTTGCGCAAAATATAGGAGACTAGTTTACAAATTTGATAAAAACTCGTGCGGCAAACGCCGTTAAATTCATATCGCTCTTTTGCGATTTGAAGCAACGTTTGCTTTCAGCTCCGTGCACGTTTATCGTTCGCAGCTCGTAATCGTGCGGTATGTAATTCCGTGTTGATATCCTTAGAAATTCCACCAAGGTATAAATAAAAGTAAGCTGCAGAGCAGGCTCTCGGTGAAAGGAGTAAGGGTATATCACGCTCTAGCGAACTTATTCGTTTCGAGATCGCTGATCGTTATACGTCGGCGAGTTATATAGAGTGTTATAAAATCACTGAACCTTTCAACCATAAAAGTCTATAAAAGAAGTACGTAAAATTAAGTGAACAAGTGCAAGAATCACGCAATTTATAATGTAAATATTTTTGTTATATACCGTGCGATTTTTTGTTTACGCAATTTTACATCTTTTTTTTACAACATATATTATTTTTTATAAAGTCGATATTTTTTTTAGGAAAAACACGCATGCAAATAATAAGTGACGTAACAAATAATATTCGAAATTGATTTTTCGCATTTCAAGTATAGACCTTTCGCATTTTAACAACAGACCTTACAAATTTATAGATTTAATCTATCAAAATAATTGCGTAGAAGACTCTCAAACAAGCTAGATTGTCAAAACTTTATGCAGCACTGTCCATCAAGCTTGAAATTTCTACGTAATTATTTCGATGATTCAAAATTATTTTCAGATTATTCTTTCCGTATGACATTCTAAAATACCACTCTTTATTTAAATATCTGGTATTTTATAAAATGAAAAGCAGACTTATATTTTCGTATCATATGTAATAATATTTATTGATAGCCCCTTTAAAAGAATTTATTGAAAAAAATTTTAACAACTAGGATTATATACATAAAATCGTCCTACACTAATTCTGTGCGTTTAGTTTGCACGTATATATAAAAAAAATTGTATCTGTGGTTCTCAGATTAGAAATATTTTTTTAAATCTAAATTTAACTTGATGAATGTTGTCTAATTATTGGGGATTTATTAGTTAATCAAATTAAAATATTCTAGATCTACAGTTTCTTGAAAAAAGATCATCTTTAAACTAGGAAATTGAGCTTCTCAATCTTGACTACTTCGAGATTTCTTTCGCGTTTATTTCTTTTAATAATCGGAAATATTCTTCACTCACTTTTAAGAAACAATTTTGAAATGAGTTATAGTACGCATTGTCGTCAGATGATTCGCACGAAATGAAAGGCGATGTCACATTGGTGTTTTTTCCTATCTGTTTCATTATGTCATACCTGTCTCGTCGCGATCTCTTTTCTTGCATGCGTATGTTTTTTTTATCTGGTTTCTCATACCCTATTTCATCTGTGGGAATGTTACATCGCAACACTCGCACACTCAATAAGCGCAAAATGAGAATAAAATGACGGGAATAATATCACATGTAGCTTCCATAAAATTCGACATGGTTCATTACTTGTAAATTCTATAAAATAAAAAATATTTTATTATATATTATAATCTTATAATTATATCTTAATATGGTATCCTGCTAAACAATATATATTCATAATTTGAGATTACATTTTATTTTATTATTTATATGATATCGTGTACTTAATTTTTATTATATTACATATATTCTATATATTATGATCAATTATATATTTTATTTCCATATTCCTCTTATATCATTATCATAATATTGTATATTTTTGCAGAAAGTAAATGTTATATTTAGAATAGTGCATAATTTATATAGAACGGAGAAGAAAATATTTATCTCGAATTGATTAATTATTGGAATTATTGTAATTCAATATTTTTAATAATCTGCTTTAAAAAATATTTTAATAAATTCTAGATATAACAAAATGTTTTCCGTTCCATATAAATTAATAAATTATGCACTGATCTAAATATAACATTAGAATTTTCCAAAATTGACGCGACGTAATTGAATGTATTACAACCGTTTTTTGGGAAGGTATCAGAAGAAACCAACTATCAGCTATCAGAGAACTTTCAACTGAATAAATTAGTGCAAGATAAGCAAGTTTATGGACTGTAATATCACTGCTTCATTCTGAATCGTGTTTGTTGCAACGAATATCGCGTTACAGCCTCGATGAAATTGTAAATCTTTCTCTCTCTCTCTCTCTCTCTGTGTTGAATGCAAATTTCTTATTCACAATACCCGGTAGAGCTGCGTTCGAAAATGTCACCCGAGTATTATCTTATCCTTATTTAACATTAAATGAACAACAAGAATAAGATGATACTCGAGGTGAAATATCACCCTGGGTGATATTTCCGAACGAAACTTAGGTGGTCTTCTCGTTATCGATTTGTCCTTTCACCTTTCCCCGTCGCTTTCTTTTCTTCTTTTGCACCTTCGTGCGACATAATGGATTTTCCTTTTCTTGAGGAATGACGATTAGAGTTGCGAGTTTCTGTATGTGTGAGTAGTGTATTAGTTTTAAGCAGAAATATATGTGTCAAGTACGTATAACAACGACGATCAATACCCTTTCTAGGGAGGGTAAATTCCCATATTTTAATATCGCGTCAGCGGTTCTGCCGATGCCAATAGCAAATCACGTAGCGGTCCTCGGCCCGGTGGCGATTATGATTACTTAATAAATTTGTTTGAAAGTATCATAATTAAATTATTATAAAACAGTAATTAAAAGATGCCCCAAAACAAATGGCATAACAACAAAAATGTTTGTATTGGATAAGTAACGTACAAGTTGCAAATTAACGTCAGAATTGTCTCGTCTACAGAAACAAACGATGCGCGAAAGACGCTTTTTCCTCTGGTAAGGTAAAAATAATCAATCGCCGGACTGAGGACCTAGGTGATTTATCATTGGTACCGTTAGAACCGCTGATGTGATATTAAATACAGGAATTTATCCTGTCTAGAAGTATATTTCTTTTTTTTTTTAAATTCTCTTCACAATAAAAAAATATTGATAAAACGTAACGATCGCGCAACCGAAAATATACATATGTGTGTTTGATAATAATACTGTTGTAACGTAATAGTGATTGTGAGAGGAATATCAGGAAGAAGATTAGACTTGGTAAAATATCAATGCAGAATCATGTCTTTGGATTTTCAATGTTGTACAGACAAACTGAAAGAGATTATATTGCACATACATAATGTAACATTTATCTTTCTTTGTTTTTTTTTTATAATAAACATGACACGTTATGCTTACAATAGAATATCACTTAACATACTTAATACAATACTATGTTATTTAAAATATCTCACAATATTTGCTAAGAAAAAAAAATTATAAATTAAATTCTATTGTAACACATTGTACAATAAAAGTAAAAAGCAAATTTCCTTGGTTTCATTCATTTTAGGCGAATATGTGAGAAAGGAACTATTTAATACTTAGGCATTCTATTTAATGAATAAGTATTTTTAAAAGTTTAAAGTTTTATGACAACGGCGATTACGATTGCAACGTGTAAATAATCGATGATATCTTGAGTGTATTCAAGAATGAAATTACAAAGTAATAAAATTGTTATGCATTGTACATATAATATAAATTTAGGCGAGTAAATAAAAAATACGTAAAAAAATGCAAAATCTAATTTAAAAAAGGAACTTTTACTTGAATGAAGTCTTAAATGTTTATACGAATATCCACGCGTTGCTCAGATTTTGTCGAAAAATATTGTAGAACAAGACCATAGTGATAAGGATAGGAGAGAGTTAATAGCATACCATATATTGTGTACCGTAAAACTATTAATATTTTTAATAACAGCCAATAACCAGCTTTAAGTATTTATATTATATAGTGCGTCTCAGACGCGTCGATGTAATTTATACGTCAGTTTGAGATTCAAATATTTGAAAGATTTGTTTCGCTTTGGCATAGCGTTTCCACGCTAAAATACCTACGTCGAACTCAATGTTTCTTAAGTTTAATACTTTCTCTTCTCTCTCTCTCCTCTCATAGAAAAGTCAGATCTTACGTAACTGTACTGCGGAATGTATACGATCATAGATTAAAGATACAGCTTGCTAACAGTTTCAGAGTTTGAGCGAAAGCTAAAAAGAATAATAAAGAACTATGATATCCTTTTTTTCTCTCTTATGGAATGTACATTTGATTGGTCATTGGTTTTTGTCAATGCGCCCACATCTCCCCTTCTTCATATCATCTACTGCTTCTACTTACAACATGTAATCGTCACAATCTCTCGTCTATTAGTAAAATGACGCATATACATACAATGTTGTTTCCAATACATATGAATACTCATGACCCCCTCCCTCTTTATTACATATATGTATCGAGAAAAACGGAACGTGGTTGTACATCACATTACTAAGAGCACTTAACCACGCAACACTTTGACTGCGTTATAAAAATACGCAATATTATTACGATAAAATAATTATTCATAGTTCTTAATTCAATTAACTGTTTACTTGACGAAAGTTTGTTATATAGCGCCTTGCACGTTATCACAGTGTACGGTAGTTCCCTTCCTTGCACTGCCTATAGAACTTCCATGAGAACGCAGCGATTGCCATCAAACAGGTAGTAAGGATAATACCACCTGCAATAAAAAAATATGCATGACTATTTGATATTTAACAATATTAAAAAATTTATAATAAAAAAATTCACGTAAAAGAATGTTTTTTAACTACTATTTGTAATTTATGCAATTTTAGTTATTTTAATAAAATTTCTGTAAAAACAGAACTTTTCATTTTATAGTCTTATCTAAGATATATTTTCTCAATCAATTTATAGAAATAACTAACGGAATAACATCTCTTACGTACCAAAGAAGCTTAGACCATCAAATTGGCGATCCTTAGATGACGGTGGTACAGCTGTTGTCTTTGTTGGAGCTGTAGTAGTGGTTGTAGTCGGTGGAGATGTTGGGGCCTGGCTGGTTGTTTTCGATGTTGTACTTGTTGGTGTAGTAGTAGTTGTAGGTTTAACAGTAGTAATAATGGTAGTAGTAGTAGTAAGAGGAGAAGTAACAGTAGTAGCAGGGGTAGTGGTGACATTGGTGGTGGTGGTGATAGGGACACTAGTAGTAGTAACATTAGAAGGAGTAGTAACATTAGAAGGAGTAGTACCATTAGAAGGAATAGTACCATTAGTAGTAGGAATAATTTTGTTCGCAGTAGTGATAACAGTAGTAGTGGGTATAGCCGTAGTGTTCAGAGACTCCGATGTAGTTCCATCTTGCACTGCAAATGAATGTATGAACAAAACTATACATTAATTTTTTTAAATAAATAAATGTTCTACATATTTCCATTTTTAGGTACATTTAAAACTGTTTTTCCTGTGACTTGCAATGAAATAAAATGATATATCTAAAGTTTCATTTTCATTTCATTTATAATATTTCTTTAATACATTATGTATAAATGTATGTGCACTATTCATCATTCAAGCATTGAGTAAAATAATTTTTAAGTCAATAATAATAATTTTATGTTAATAACAACATTCATCTAGAAATATAAAGCAAAAATAAAATTTTGAACAAATTTCATTCTGTAATGATATAAAAATTTTGCAGATTAATGTTCCAAGATTAAAAAAATTTTGAACGTTTGAATAATTTCTATCAGAGAATTGTGTAATTTGAAACGAAATGAAAATGACAGAAGTGAGAAAACTCGCTACAATATTTTTAATTTTATTGGTCAATATCTAATATATTTATTTTCTCTTTGTAATTTTCACTTCGTTTCAAGATATATAATCTGTTACCTTTTTAATTTTTTTTACGTTTCTATGCCAAATAATTTACGACATTGATTTATATATATATATAATACATCTTTATGTTTTGACAAATACAAATGCGTATCAATATCTTTAGATCTGTCGTTTCAGCTGAAAACTTTTTGATTCATTTTTCCTCTTTTCTCTACATGTAGAGTAAAAACAGATGAACGATTCAACTCTAACCTGTTTCTACTAATGCAGTTTAATTTTAATCTCAATTCAACTAATTCTTCATCATTTCTAATTTTGTTAATTAAAAAAAGCAAAGACAACAAATTGAACTGAAATTGACATTAATCTACGATGGTAGGAACACTAGAAACGGGCATACACAAAAAGAATTTTTTTCATGATAAGATTTCAACTGTTTCAGCATTAAACAGTTTTGCTGGTTTATATATAGTTTATCAGCAACCGCGAAACGTATTGCTGACGACGATAAAACATTAAGTCGTTGCGCGTCCGATCGTTATCGTTCATCATAGCTAAGATTCGGCCGGTGGTGGTCAGCGAAAAATCAATAGCAATCTACTCCGAGACCACCGCCGTTGTGTAACGAAGGTCGAATGTGCGTAAGAGACTGGGACGCTGTACTGGATCGATGTTTCTTTCTAATCAATCTTACATCTTTATCGACTTACCGCGAAAGGAAAAAAAAAGAAGGAAGGGAAAAAAAAATGTCCTTACGTCTCTCAGAAAAGAATATCTTTATACGCGTGAACGGGATGCGGAAAGCGCGAGTGTTTACGAATATATAAATTTCTCTTAAATGCCTACGGGGAAAAATCTGACAGTCCAGCCACTATCGGTAATTCGACGCGAGTAGGCGTCTCCTGATAAAAACGCGGAACCCGGCGAAACCGTCTGCCATCCATTAGATACCGCGTGCATCAAACCCCCGTTATTACGCATGTATGAGCAATGCACTTTGCACTTCGTTACGCGCCAATAATTGGAATTAACCAACTCACCGTCGTTGGCCCGCACCAGCGTTACGCACAGTAACGCGCAGATCAAATAAGCGGACTTCATTTTTCGAAAATCGTAGGGAAATTTCTCGTTCCTTTCAAAATGCACAGATTGCGCGGCGACAATAAAACACAACACGCACTACCACTGTATCCCGCCGAACTGATCGTTGCCAAATGCCGAATGGTGCCGAATGCCCCGAATGGTTTGATCGTGATTGTCGTTTGTCGTGTGAAACTCTTCAACACTTCGAAACGACCTGCAGCAGCACTGCAGCCAGCGACCAGTTAGCGACCGTTATGTGTACAACGTTCAAGATGGCGGCGGTAATGCGATTGCTGCGGCGCTCAAGTCTGTTCTTTTTTAGAGTCCCTCTCCCTATAATAAAAGGAGTCTGGCCAATCTTTCTAGTTTGACAAAACATGGCGTCGTAGATAAAGGTATGGTCAGTTGATGTGATACTATAAGTATATCGTAAACAATGTATAATCATTATAAATATATAAATAAAATAAATAGTTTTTTAATATATAATTTGATAAGAGATCACAGACTGTGTAGAAAGTAAGTGAAATATATATATAATAGAAAACAAATTATACATGGTGACATAAACATCGATTTTTAACCTGTAAAATTGTATCTATTCAAAATATGCATTATAACTAACAAATTTTATAGAAAATGCCCGGCTGCTGCGTGCTAGAGATCCTCAAGTGATCCAGTTTCCTCTCTAGAATATACTCGTTGGTTAGAGAGATAACAACGTCCAGCGTACTGCGTTATAAAACACGGCGATAAATTGTAAGTAGCGCTTTGTAAGATGTATTATTTTTCTTTTTAAATTACGTCGCGAGATCTTAATTGTCCATGTCGTTAGGCAATAATCTTGTCATTAATTTCCAAGTTCTCTGTGTCATAGCCGGTCTTTCGATACCGTATTATTATTAATATCATTCGCACGCGATTACGTCTACACGAGTTCCTCGTACGTTAGCATATTCATTTGAGTTTGTAATAAATTATCTTTAAACTCGAGACAGATTCAGTGATTAACCTTTCACTGCCGAATATGCATTTTCCCGCCTTTCCATTTCGCCTTCAGCGAATCATCGTTGGCGAGTTGGAAGTCCATTCATTTTGCATATACTTGATATTCGAATAATATAAAAATAGAGTACATTTTCATGCTTTACGCTGTAAACATCAGTTCATCCCAATTATTTCTGAAATAATAAACAAAAACAAATAATGTTGATGCTTACAAGCGCTGCAAGTCCAAAACGAAATGCATCCATAGGTATACCATTGCATATAATGGCGATAGACTGATAGAACAACCAATCAAATGCTTGTCCCAAAATTAGCACTAAATTCAAATATAGTATTGATAAAAATATATATTATATATAATCAAATATACAAATAAAATCAAAATTTGTAAAAACAATACAAGAGTAAAAAACAAATATTAATATTAATATGCTGTCTATTTCCGAAGAAAATATTAATTTTCGATAATATAATGCCTCTTGCATCAGAGAAATAAACAATTTGTAGTTCTGAATACAATACGGGCATAATTTTTACAAATAAAACAGAATTTATTTTTATTCTCAATTACTCAAAACACTCTTCTAGTGAGATAAAACTTGAGAGTGTCGACCTTTTTCGTGCACCAAATCTCGTAGGGTAATATCCACATTTTTGTGGTTCTCTTCCATACTATTACGTGAGTTAGACAAGGATAAACAATCAACTTTGATAGCATGGAAAAGAATGATAAAAACGTGGACATTATTCTATAAACTTTGGTACACAGTTCACAAAAAAAGGTCATAATGACCACTTTCAGGTCCTCTCTACTTATACCATGATTCAAATCTTTTTACTTTTTTCTAATACTTGAACTTGTTATGTATTATGCGTCATGCAAAAGTGTGTGCTGCGGCCTTAAGGGTACTTTCCAACAAGAGAATGTTTTCAAGTGCAGTGCAGCTTAAGTCGTAAGAAATCAACCAATCATAAACGATTATTTTCCTCATATTCAATTGTGATTAGCCAATATCTTACGGTTTAAAGCTTTTTTTTAACCTATTATTTTTGGATCTTAAAAAGCAGGAATCAGGAAATTTAAGATCGGTTTCAACAACTTGATTAACCATAATCAGTGATTAATTGTCAACTGTAATTGGTCAATTTTACTAAACAGCAAATACGATTGATTAGTTCCACTGCCGATTAAATAATTAGGCTTTTTTCTTTATTCTCTGTTCCCTTTTCCTTTTATTCCGCGCAATTCCTTATGTAAATGTGATTCCTGAACGTACTCTTTAGAAGACATAGGACAGCATTTGTAGTCCGTTTTTATAGACCTATAGATTTATAGATTTAGTTGTCCATTTTTTAAATCTTAGTTTAATTAATTCTGCATCTTTTCTAGTCGTAAGAATTGAAAAAGAATGACGAGTAAATTAAACTAAGATTATTCTACAGAAAAAAAGCATAAAACCGCTTTTATATCTTATATTTTATAACATAAATTAATACACCTCTCTGATTGGTTCATGACTGTATTTAAAATTTTTAAACATAAAAGCGTCTTCAACCGTGTATAACGGATTTTGAACCGATCCAGATTGGATTAATAACTGCAAGTTCTACCATTAATAGAGCATGTAGCATTAACCAATAGCAAAGCATTAATCCAATTCAGATCGATTTAAAATTCGCAACAATCAAAAACGCTATAACTATAATAAATAATTGAAATTTTTCACGACTTTAAACTTTATGTTATTCTCGACAAACACAAAGATAAAGAGAAGATTTAAAGATATGCTATATTTTAATATATCATCGAAATATTTTATGCGATTTCTTCAATGCTGGCGTTTTTATGCACATTCTTAAATACAGTACAAAGTATAGACATTTTGTATTTTTTAATGTATACTTTAACTGTTTATATAATTCATGTAAAACAGCAAACAGAGACTTCTTGTATGCTAATTAGATTGTTCACTCTGTTGTCGTTTTTCAAATTGTAAGAATGAGGGTAACTGTTTATTGTATTGCCCACATGTGCACGTGGACAATAATAATACGCGATATTCACTTAAATTATTTACATGATTTAAAGTTAAAATATGTATATCCTTTAATATATATAGGACTTTGTTTATTACTTTGGTTTTTTTCAAGCTAACATCACCTTTACAATATATTCTCTATAAATTATTATATCAGTTATTTCCTTATTTTCGAATTTTGTACGCTAAAATACACACATTCGAATAATACGAACAGACGAAACGATCTTTATGGTGATTAATGGAATCAAAGACAAAATTATAATTTTTATAAAAATTTCTTTCCTCTCGTAGTTTAAAATTTATTTGACATCAATCTTCTTTTCACAATTTATCTAAAAAAAGTATCTTTAAAATTTTATAAAAGCTAAAGAATTCTATTCTGCTCGAAAGATATATATTTCAAGTTTTATAAAAACGTAAAATAAGCAATCCTCTTTACGAACAAAATCGAAAATATAATAAAATTTCTCCACGATGTTATTACGAGTGCTCGTTCCAGAACGAGTTTCCCGCAATCCTATCAATTATCTATATGTCTCCGATTTGTTCGATTATCTCCCGCTTTTGTTGATGATTACAAGAAGGTGGTGCCCTCTAGGATCGTCGGGAGGGGGGAGGGGGCGGGGAAAACCGGGGGCTGCAACGGTCGGGAACGGGAATGCCGATGATGCGCGCTCAGGCGCTCACGGGTTCAGTGCTGGTGCTCGATGCGAGGCGAGTGCGCGCGACGGTGCAGCACGAGTGCTTGCGCTCGTACGGGCCTGTTTTCGTGATCATCAAAGAGCGTTTTAAGGCCACCGTCGTGCACAATCGTGATTCAAGGACTGATTTTACGTTACGGTGAAAGAACAGGATACGTGGGTTTTGATATTTCGCAGGATTGGATACTTGCTGTTAGAAAAAGGGTATCTTTTTGATTTGTGTGACTTATTAAAAAGAAGAGGGTATATCTTTATTTGTGAGAGACCGTGGAACGACGGTCGAATTTACACGGGGGAGGTGACGAGGGCTCGCGCGCGGAAGCGCGGGTGAACGGTGCGGTGTTTCGGGGTGGCAGCAGCGGGGTGGCCTCGCAGTGGTGACCAGCTCGCGGATAAAGGGCGAGGGAAATGGGCCGCTCCGCGTTTGATACGTGATACGAGGTGCGTGAGCGCGCGCGCGCGCGCGCTCTCTCTCTCTCCCTCTTTTGTGGAGCAGCCCCGCGCGTGTGTATGTGGCGTGCGTGCGTGTGTCGTCGTCGTCGGCCACCTCGTCCTCCCCGTTGTCGTCGTCGTCGACGTCGTGCCGAGAGCCGCGAGTCTGTGTACCCCCCCGAATACGCGTGTGTGTTGCGTGAATGAAAAGGGTAGAAGGGGGAGGGCCGCTCGTTACCCCAAGATTGTCGAAACGAGCGTCGTTGTCGTGGTCGTCGTCGCCGTTGCCGTCGTCGCCGCTGCCGTTACCCCGACGCGCGACTCGACGTGGACGTCGAGAGCAAAAGGGATAGGTTGCTCTTCGTAGAAATGCGGCGTGACATGACAACGGTGAAGAGTGATGTCGTTGTGACGACGACGGCAACGGCGGCGACGACGATGTCGTTGGCGACGTCGTTGGCGACATCATTGTGGACAACACCATTGTGGACACCATCATCCTGGACATCGTCATCGTGGACAACATCATCATGGACATCATCGGCAATATCCTCAACTGTATTGTCATCGACATCGACATCAACAGCGACAACGGTGAATACAGCCGCCCCGTTCCATCGCCTGCTTGCGACAACACTATTGCTGTTATTGCTGGTGTCGATGCACCCTTGCCCGGCCGCGGCCGCCTGCCGGTGGACCAGCGAGGCTGGCAATGACACCCGTTCAGCGGATTGCGCCCTTCGCGTGTTAGATCCTACGGCGATCGTCACCCTGGCGCCGTCCCTCGATGGCGCACTTAAACTACGAATTCGCTGCAGCGACGTGCATCATTTCGAGAGCAGCTTGAACGCGCAAAGTTGGCAGCGACTGGCCGGTCTGCATGAACTACACGTGCACGGCTGCAAGGTGTTACGTATTCCAGAGGATGCGTTTCTGCCATTGC